AACTATTTTAGGTTTCCTCCACTTTTCTTCTCCTGCATCTTCAAAATTTATTTCAAAATTCTACTTCTTCTTTCAAAACCCTGCTCATCCCATTCATGAAGCCTTTTGCCTTCATGTGAATCTGTTCTTGGTATCAAATGACTTACAAAGAAGTACATGCCCAGGGAGTAACCACTCTATCCTTTGACATTCTCTATTTACACCTCTCTTGTTGGAATTTATTAAAATATACTTTATCATGTAGTGTAATTAATTGAGCATATGTCTCCCTACATATCAGTGAGCACCTTGAGTCCAGACTACGTGGAAAAATCACCACTGGTATGTTGTCATGATGGATTTCTTCAGCTCTTTTCTTATGGTTTAACCAGTAGATGAAAAGAAGGGTTAGTCACAGAGGTTGGAGTAGTATGTCTATGTGAGAATTTCTTCCCAGTATTTCTCAAACAGAAATTATTTATTTTTAAATCTAAATTCTGAGGAAAAGTAACTGAGACATCCAGAAAATTGGGGAAAGTAATATAGTTCTCCTGCATGAATTATAGCACAATGACCAACATAGAGAGGTGATGGGCTCAGAGGAATCATGTCAAGAGGAAAGCGGAAAACATAACATGCAGAGCCAAAGGTTAAGTCTATGTTTCTGTAACCAGGACAAAAAGCCCTGGAAGAGGGGCAGTCATGATCTCATCAGTCAGCCTTGCTGGTAGCTGCTTCCCAGTATGTGTGCACGGTCCTATCTGTTGCCAACAGTGAGTCATTCTTGCAAATAAAATTAATATCCATAAGTTTATATGCTTAGGATACTACACAAATCCTTTGAATGATGTTCCAAGAAATAAATTTCAGAAGCAAATTTAACCCCTAAAATTGGCAATTTGACATATGTTTCTGTATAGTGCTGTTAATCTTATTGGGAGATCTCAATGTTTAGTTATTAAAACACCACCAATAATATTGATGGGCATATTCCAGTATTTGGCTATTCACTATAGTCTACAGTACTTGGTATATACTAATATACCTAGTATTTATGTTATTAAAAAATTTTAGATATCCATAATAATGAGTAAACAGTACAAAGAACATTGAAAATATTTTAAGAATTACTTATAAGTTTATACATTCCTGAAAATCCCCAAGAATTCCAATTTCTCATTCTCACATATTGAAGACCAAAGAAACCCCATGTAAGAAGTATGTGTTTATTCATATCTGTGTTGTCTAATTATAACTAATAAGTATTGATAGAGAGATAGCTTGATACAGAAATTATTGAGTGAGGGAGATTATATACCAATACATTCTGAGCAGTTTGTTTCATGGATATTGGATGGGTCAAAATAACCCGCAGTACCACACTATCAAGAACCTCAACAAGTATTTTCATAATGATGACTCTCTCTCTCTCAACTTTAAAAAAACACATTGTAAAATTACAGATTCTAGTGAAAACCAGTAAAGCTTGAAATACGATGGTGATTATTGCTGGGGCCTGTCTTGCCTCACTAGCTCCAATTTAAGAATTCTCTTAGTTGCTTCTTATTGATTTCAATCCAGCTCTCATGGAGAGGGAAAATTATAATGTTCATAACACTTGGAAAGAGGCTACTCAACAGAGAAGGGGCAGAATTTTAAATAGCCATCCCCAGAGACCACATACTTGGTGATTTTTATGAAGCTACTTTACAAAGACTCTTGTATGCCGTAATACAAGTTCTTCAAAAATATTTATTACACATTCATTTACTTATTTTTAAACAAATATTTAAAGAGAATCTACTATGTTACAAAGTCTCTGAGTCCATGGATCTAATGTTTGTAAGGAGAAAAGAGACAATATATAAATAAGCAAATGGTGAAAGGGGCATAAATTTAGGATAAGAATATTGAGAGACTGTGACTTGGGGATAAAAAAAAAGACTACTTTATGTGCCAAGCACTGTGTTATATGCTTGAATTCATAGACAAAAACACAACATATTTGCTTTCACGGCATTTACAGACTACTAGGAAAAGCGACACATAAGTAAATCTTTTTTTATCTAGAGTAGAGGAGACTAACAAGTGCACGAGAACCATGGTGTCACTCATTGCCACTGTCTTCCTCAACATAACTTTTGGTAAGTTCTTCTGTGTGTTCTCCAAGAAGGGTTTACTTATTTGTTTCCATGACTGAGTAGTTACTAGGAAACCTAGCTCCAAAGTGTCTTCAGTGACAACTCCTTCCCATATGTCCATGTGAGGCTACAAGCCTTCAGCAAATCCATGTGTTTATACATAAGTTCCTCCTGCTGGCTTGTTCTATCCTGAGTCTTCTTATTTCTGAGAAGCTGCTACACATGTGGTCTCTCCTCTCTTAAATAATATGGAATAACTTCCTATGCAACTGGGAAGATGGCTCTTCACTTTGGATGTTACCATACATAGGAGCATCCTTGGCTCCACGCTGTCTCCAGCTTCTGCTTGCAGAATCCCAGCAAAGATTTAACATCTCAACCTCTGCTTATCTAGGAGAAAAAAATAAGGCAAGGGAAGATTTTCCATTTATTCTGATGTCATAATAGATTCAAATACCACTTGAAGCAAAAAGAGAAAAGTGATGAGTTTGTTTTGTTTTTCTTATATTGTAATCGGAGTATAAATAACATACAATAAACACATAGATATCAGTTGGTGTGTTTGGACAATTGTATTCAATAACGGAATGTTTTTTTTATCACCCCAGATAGTTTTTTTTGTGTGTCCCTTTCTAATTAAGTTCTCTTTCTGCCCTATCAACCACTGTCTTGGCCTCTATCACTCATATTTTCTTCCTAGCTGTGACTAGATGTATAAATGATAGAAGATAGATAGATAGATAGATAGATAGATGATAGATAGATAGATAGACAGATAGATAGATTTTAAAAACTTGTTTTTTCTTTCTTCTTCATTGCCAAGTTATTTTAAATAATAGTCATTTACAGTTATAATTACATAATAGTAATTATACAGTTAGTCCATAGGTTAAGTTGTTTCCTGTTGAGGAGGGGTGAGTGTTCTTGGTTTGTGTAAGAAATAACTGCGCTACATAATGAGGCACATATAAACATTAGAAGAAGGGATATACTGATTTTGGCTGTGTCTCTGGCTATACAAACTCCTGTGCTCCTGTCCATTTCAGGGTCTGTTTTTCCAGCCTTCCCAATGTATCTGTGAACCACTTGATGCCATTTCAGTATGTTTCTTTTCAATATTAAAAAGCCAGAGTTCAGTTCTTTGGTTTGCAACTACAAGTCCTGAGTGTTGAATCCATGGGTTCCTAGATTCCCTTCCACTGCTGACATTCATTCAAGTGAAACAAAGGCTGTAGCCTACCCTTTCCGCTAGAGATGGTGCCTCATGAAAATCATTACCCCCAGTGCAAGAATCAATTCTTGAGGTATTTACTAAGTACTCCCCCTCTACTAGGTACTACAGGGAGACAGAAAAGGAATTCTCAAAATGCTTACCATCTCACTGGGAACATAAGACACACAACAAGCAATTCATTTGCTATGAAGAGCAGTAACCAATTAAGTGACAAACAGAAAATCACAAGTAGGAAGAGGCACCAGAAGGTGAACAAACAAACAAAATAAGCAGAGTTGCCCATCTATTCCCCATTTACCTCATTGAGACTGGGATGTGAAAACTGTTTGTCTTGGAAAACCACTTCAGGGATACAATCCCAAAGGGCTTAGGAAGAGTTCATGTCCCATAAGAGCCCAGCACTATGACTATTAACTCTAGTTGTTGGGAAAAGAGTCCTGTTCTGAAAAATGTATAAGAGCTGCTCTCAGTCTCCCCGCTGCTATCCTGTCAACAGTAAATTAAGCTATTGGGTCTAGATTTCAGTAACCTCCTGAGATCCTACCATCTTTCAAAGGTGAGCTTTTTTGATTTCAGTGCTACTCTTAACCAGCGAGACAGGTGTGTCAGGGACTCAGCACAGTTTGTGCAGCACTGATTGTGGGTGGGAGAAGTGAAATTAGAGATTGTCCCTCAGAAATACATAGCTCCACATTCTGATCAAGCCCAAACCATCCAAGGCTCTGTGAATTTTCTCCTTCATCGCTTTATATCTCTTCTTTTATAAGAGAGCCACTCCATCACCTTTAACTGCACTAGCAAGCTGTTTTCTGGTTGGAGTCCCAATGAGATGACTAGAATCCAACAACCTCCTGCAGCATGTACTTAACCTAGAGGAAACTCACATACCGATGTTATGCCACAAATGAGAAAGGATTGCCCTACCACGCTTTTCCCTATTCCTGCCATACTGGGCCGATCCAGTGAGCCTTCTCATCTAGAAGTGGAGGCAAACACAAGTCTTTAGGACTTTATGTGTCCTCTAAACAGTCTTTATTCACCTAGCATCTAGCCAAGAGTGAAGTAGAATTCTAGTCTCCCCTTTTTGTACACTTCCTCCAAGAGCAGTTCTTCTGGAGTTCCCCCCTCAGTTAAGAGGAACAAAGCACCCACACAACAGCATAATCCCATAAGCATTCTTAATCCTCAATTGTTTCTTCTCCAAACTCTTCACTTTAATGACTCTTTAAAATCCTATCTTCTTAGATTTAAAGGATAACAATGGATGGTGGGAAAGGTGTTAGGACCTGACTGTTCATTTTTAAGTAATTTCTTCAGAGAGGAGGATCTAACATCTTTAGAATATGGAATACCTCTCTCATATTGTCTTTGATATAGGGCATTTAACTATATTTGGAGCCAACTGTAAAAAACCACATTCAGAATTATATTAGAGTTTAAAACATGTTCACTGAGAAGTATCTGACATGTATTTGTATTTTCTTTCTAAGGCATTTTCTGGAGCTCTGCATGGCTGACATAGTTCCTTATTAAGTAATCTTTCTCCACCCTTCATTGCCTTTCAGCCTAGAGGGAGTGACCACCGTCCTGCAGAGGCTGCAGCCAAATGATACACAATTGGGGTTCCTTGTAGAGATAAGAAGACCTTGTGCTCCTTGCTTTAGATCAGCAGAAACATGCATCAAGGAAACCAAACCACCATCTCTGAATTCCTCCTCTTGGGCCTCTCCAACCAGGCTGAGCATCAGAATCTTCTCTTTGTGCTTTTCCTGGGTATGTACCTGGTCACTGTGGTTGGGAATGGCCTCATCACCCTGGTCATCAGCTTGGATTTTTACCTTCATACCCCAATGTATCTCTTCCTTGCTAACTTATCTTTGGCTGATATTTCCTCCATTTCTACCTCGGTCCCCAAAATGCTGATGAACATTCAGACCAAGAGTCAATCCATCTCCTATGGGAGCTGCATCACACAGATGTACTTTTCTATTGTGTTTGTTGTCATTGACAATTTCCTCTTGGGAGTCATGGCTTATGATCGTTTTGTGGCTATTTGCCACCCTCTGAACTATACAACCATCATGCAACCTGGGCTCTGCATTTTGCTGACAGTCATGCCGTGGGTCCTCAGTAATCTTGTTGCCCTGACACACACTCTTCTGTTCCTTCGACTGTGCTTCTGTAACAACAACACTGTCTCACACTTCTTCTGTGACTTGGCCTCTCTTCTGAAACTCTCCTGCTCAGACACAATGATCAATGAGCATGTGTTGTTTATCGTGGGCTTATCAGTCATCACCTTTCCTTTCTCTCTCATCCTCTTCTCCTACATCTGCATTGTCAGGGCTGTCCTGAGGATCTCATCCACAGAGGGAAAGTGCAAAGCCTTCTCCACCTGTGCCTCTCACCTGACAGTTGTATTGCTCTTCTATGGGACCATTGTAGGGGTTTATTTCTTCCCTTCATCCATTCACGCTGACGACAGAGATAAAATTGGTGCAGTGCTATTCACTGTGGTGACACCCATGATGAACCCCTTCATCTATAGCCTGAGGAACAAGGACATAAAAGGTGCCCTGAAAAAGCTCATCAGTAGGAAAAGCTTCTGCCTTTGATGCCCTGAGCATCTGAATTCCTTTTATCTTCATAACCAGATGGATGATTTTGCCCAAAGTTTGTGGCACAGTTGTGATGGTTCAGCTTTTAATAAGACTTCAGATATTTGCCTCCTATTTCAACCTCTGAAGACTTGGGGCTTTTCCACATAGTTCTGATCTTGAACAAACACATTAATCTCCATAAGTCACAACCATTAAACACATCTTGATTATACTGTGTGTTATTAAAAACTTTGGTGCAAATTGTTTATAACTTAAACCATTACAAGTGTGTATAGTACCTACAGACTAGCTTTTGCAGCTTTGAAGACAGTTATTAGTAATTCCTTTATTGAATCTAGATTTCTCTAGGTGAGCTTTTCTCAAAGTTTGTTTTGCTAAAGTACTATTCAGTGAGATGTTTAATAGTTGTAAAACTGAAAGATCCCACGTGCAAACAATTTTGGACAACTCTGAATTAAATAAAACAAAATATTTTAATTGGACAACTTCTCAGAGCCTTTAGTATAGTATAAATCCCCAGGAGCATTTCTCAAAACTAAACTTAGTCAACCATAAAAGACCTGATTCATCACAAACTAGTTCATAGATCTAGTGTTGCACAAAACACATTTTGGGAAATGTATTTTGATGGAAAACCAGAGATTGTATATATAGAAGCTGTCAATTCTTGACCTGACTGAAGTCAAGAAGACTTTAGACATGCCAGCTCACTTTATTGAGCTTATTTTCTCATCTATAAAATGAGGCCATTGGTCCCAATTGTTTCCATCAGAATTATGTGGGGTACCTTTCAAAATTCACAACCTCAGAACTGCAATGGCTTTCTCTGCTCAACCAGCTGTAGTAGTCTTGGGTTCAGCTTGGCAATTAAATTCATAAGATACACCAAAAATCAAGCATTAAGAAAGCTTTAGGAGAGGATCCAGACAGCCATCCAATACACACAGCATGGCAGAGGTCTTGTGAGGCCCAGGCAAGCATTCTAAATAACTTATTCCACACCTGGGATGTTCACGGCCACTCAGCATGGCCACTCATGCTGAGTGGGTGTGGGCCACCTTGGTTCAAGGAAACTTCAACCCTGGGTTTACTTCATCATTATGCCTTGCTTATCATGTAGTTCCCCCAGGGGTATGTGACTGGCACGTATTTTCTGGTGCAGCTACATCTCAACAGATAGTTACTCATCAGTTACAGATTCCTCCATAACCAATTTTAACAAACAGATCCAAGTCACGCCACAGCCATTTCAGCAGTGCTGTCTCTTCTAAGGATTCAGTCTACACCTACACAATTCTTGAATTAGATGCAAGGGGGATTTGATTTAGAGTCAAACCTCAGACTGCCTGAGGCTGAGAGAAGGCTACAAACTAGTTTTGACTGCTTTCCTTCCAAACTCCACCCTGGATCCACTAACCCAGACTCTAATGAAAGAATTAGGCATTTGTACTCTGAAAACAGCCGTCAGGTGATTCTGACCTTAAGAAGCAGTGAATCACATGATTCTGGGTTCCACTCTAGCTTTGGAATTTTGTGAATCTAGATGCTGGTTGATGAAGATTATTTTTCACAACCCATATAAAAATATTCTGTCGCTACTCAGAAGACTGTGTTCTTTTTCCCTGTTCTAAACTTCTTTTTAAATATTTCCACTTCTGAAGCAAATTATTCCTAGTTCTTAAATCTAATTTTTCTAACCATTGTTCTGTAGTGTAAAGAAAAGCTCTGGTTCTAAATCCTGACTTTTCAGCAAGTTGTGATCCACTTATGTGATCTAAGGGAAATTATTTAAGCATTGAAAGTCATCTTCTTCATCTGTAAAATGGGAATAATAATTTCAAAATCTTAAAGCTGTTTGTTGCTAAGTGGACATGTATATTAGACAATTACCATACTGCCTAGTATATCTTAGACACTCAAAAAAAAAAAGATACTCCTTTTTTTGTAACTGTCCTGTGGCTTCCAACTCTAATCTACCTGGCCTTCTAAACTAGGTTTATCTGTATCCAGTCTAAGCTGATTTCTATTTTTCTCTAAACTTATAAAAATCTAACCTCTTTAAGAGAAAATATATAATCTATATAATCAGCCACTTGCCTTTCTCTGTGGCATCTCTTAAATTTTTATGTTTCATGTGTGCTTTCATTACAAATGTAAAACCACCTGCTTTTACATGGGTTACCCACCTAGATTCTTAACTGTCCTGCCTTCCTCAACCACCTGAAGTGAATAGACACTTCTCCAAGGAGGACAAAAACAGGGCCCAGAGACATATGAAAGGATGCTAATCATCATTAGCCATCAGAGAAATGCAAATTAAAACCACAATGAGATACCACTTCACACCAGTCAGAATGGCCATCACAAACAAATCAACAAACCACAGGTACTGGTGATGTTGTGGAGAAAAGGGAACCTTAGTACACTGTTGGTGGGAATGCAGACTGGTGCAGCCACTGTGGAAAACAATATGGAATTTCCTCAAAAAGCTAAAAATGGAACTGCCTTTTGACCCAGTAATTCCACTGCTGGGATTATACCCTAAAAATCCCAAAACACTAGTGCAAAAGAACCTATGCACCCCAATGTTCATAGCAGCACAATTTACAATAGCCAAGTTCTGGAAGCAGCCTAAGTGCCCATCAGTAAATGAGTGGATCAAAAAGCTATGGTACATTTACACAATGAAATACTACGCAGCAGAAAGAAAGAAGGAGCTACTACCTTTCACAACAACATGGATCAAACTGGAGAGCATTATGCTAAGTGAAGTATGCCAGGGGGTGAAGGCCACATACCATATGATCTCTCCTATAAATGGAACATAATCAACAAAACAAACAAGGAAGGAAAATATAACCAGCAACACTGAAAGAAAAAAGAAACCGACAGTAATGTGAGGGAAGGAGGGAAGCAGGTAATGGGGAAAAGAAAGGGAGGGGTCAAGTTAAGGAGCATGTATGAAGGACCCATGGACAAAGCCAAACTGGGGAAGGACTGAGGGAGGAAGGTTAGGGTGGGTGGGGCAGGGGAAAGTGGCAGGAAAATGGAGACAAATGTATTTGAACAATAAAAAAATAAAATTAATAAAATTTAAAAATCTACCCTATTCTACACACAACTCTAACATGAAACATCATAGTACTCTGCTTTCATTTTTCCATGTGGAATAGTAAGGAGTCCTAGATTCGTAATCAAGAGACTTGGCATCTGGTCCAAATCTGCTCTTAACTTGCTGTGTGATAAGCCATGTTACTAATCTCAGTCTCCTTTTCTGTAATATGATAATTTGTCTGATATAAACAAAGAATGGTTTATAAAAGCAGATATCATGAAAACCCACTCATATAAAACAGAATATGCAGAAAGCGAGGCCTAAGAGGAGAGTCAACAAAATATTAACAGTGGTTGTGGCAGAGTATATTGTCCAAAATGGTCACAACAATATTTTTCATCCCAGATATTCTTAAAGAACTTGATCATTTCCCCATCATGAGATGGAGTCTCTGTTCCTCTCCTTGAACCTGGGAGGTTTGGGGAACCCCACTGACAAAGGACTCCAGAAGCGGTGCTGCATAATTCTGGTTTCATCCAGCCCATATTTGAGATAATAAAAACCATCAGGGTTAGACACAAGTTATTTGGTTTAAATTGGTGGCCATCCCTGTGGGCCTATCCTCACCTGCTATTACCTCCAAGTTGTAGGTTCCACAGAAAACTGTGCCCATTCTAAGGTATAGTTCCATCTGCAGTGAGTAATGGGAGGTTGATTTGGCTAGGAATAGAGAGAGGTGCAAGTGGGGAGTTTGCATGACAAAGTGAATTAAGATTCATTGTGGGACCCAAAAGACATCTGATTAAGGAAATATAGAATCACAAACTTACGAAAACGTTGATAAGTCTTCACAGAGGAGAAGCATAAATCTGTACCTAGATGCTTGTATTTCCCTAATCTTTCTCCTATTTGTCATTTTCAATAAACATCGATTGTGCACCTTCACTTTACCAGGCTCTGAGTTTGGCCCTGGCACTAAGATGGTGCATAGTTCATAGTCCATGCCCTCAATACATTTACAAACTAGAGAGAAACTGACATAAACATAATTTAAATGATTTTTAAGACAGGATAAGCAGAGACAATATTTAACATCATTAGATTTAGAAACTGTAAAGATTTTGTGCAAAGCACAATCAACTAAATTTTATGCTACCTTTGTTCTTTTGTGTTAACCATACCTGAGAAAAGCCAACTGTGGTTTTGTGAGTAAATGAATAGAAAACTCTGTCATCTTAGTATAGGTAATATAAATGCAAAAGAAATGCCTAGAAAAACAGACCAAAAAATCCATGAATTAGGTAGAATTTACTTGTTAACTCTAACATATAAAGTGTCAGCAAAATATTCATTTATTTATTCACTAACCAAATATTTTTGAGTACCTAGTTAAAGTGGCAATGAAATAGACACCCCCATGGCTTTCTTGGCTCTTGCATCATAATGCATAACCCAGACGATGAACATGTCAATAAATAAATAAACAATGGCCATAAATATGAGACAGCAAAAAAGCTAAGATAAAAATGTCAAGTAGAGTCAGAAGATATATGATAACTTAGGGTGGAATAGCTATTCTTGGTAACGAGGTTTAGGAGTTAGGGAAGACCTCTCAGGTGTTTGACTGAGAACTGACTAAAATAAGGAAGTGAGCCATGAGAAGATTTGGGGAAATACATTCCAAGAAAAGAAAAGAGCAGGAATAGAAATCCTGATGTGGGAACAGGTTGGATTGGACTAGAGGAGAAGAGAGAAGATAATCATAAAGGCAGTTAGGGATCCAGACTGGCTAAATTTATCATCAGCCATGGCAAATGAATGTTATTTAAATCCTTTAAATAAATATTTAAATCCATGGGACTGGATGAAATTAACCTAGAGGGTGATTGATTACACAGGGAAAGACCTGCAACTAAGCCTTGGGTAACTATCATTTAAA